TGCTCATACTTCTAGACATCCCACATTGATACATCATAAAATCTCAAAATTTTGGATTGTTTGGGGATTTGAACTTATGAAGTTTGTTATCACTCTGAATGAAAAACAAATAAGTTATCTACTATAATGGTAGATGAAAAATATTTCAAATGGTGATGATTTCTCACCTCATTTTTATATTTTTATTCAGTTTCATGACTAGTCAGTAACACATGATCTAACACAGCTGAAACTATTTAATTATTTTAAAATAGGACAAAGGCAGCTGATAGTTATTACTGATCAAAATATTTTTATAGATTAAAATGCCTCTGTTTATGTTGCAATACAATAGGTTGAAACTGATAAACAAATTGCAACACTGACATGTTACACCACAGACAGGAGACACTAATGCAGGAAGGAGAAAAAGGTTTAGTCAGCAATAAATAGCAAATACCCATAGTTATTTTCATAATTCAATGTTTCCTGGAAGCACTTAGTATATGCAGTGATAAGTACCAACAGGTCATAAAATATTGCAGATACATACTTTCCTCACTCAAGGAAAAGTCTCTCCAATATTTTTGTAATATATATTTTATTGGTAACCAGGAGAGTAAGACTGGCAGTTCAGGACAGCCATCTTAGAAAATACTTTACACTTCTGCAAGGTAGGCCTGGTTATGAGCGACACACAGATCAGCTAGATGCCCATGGAACATCTGATCAGTTCCTTTATTGTACTTTTTTCACTTTTTTTTTCATCCTCTGAGAAAGGATTTATGAGCACTGACTGAAAGAGACCAAAAAAAAAAAAAAAAAAGTTGAAATTGGTCTTGAAAGCAGAGAAAAGGGGTAGGGAAGTCTAATTGTCTTCAAAGAATAAGATGAGACCTAAAATAATATTAAGCAAACAGTTTACAGTCTGTAGCTCCCAAAGCTTGAAAAAGTATAATAATTTGCAAAGCTACACAATTCTCAGACTACAAAGACAGAAAGAGAGGGACCTACAGCAGGCCATCCCTAAGCAGCAGGAAAGACTGATGGGAGAAGAAAAAAAGAAAAAAAAACAAACAGTTTTGGATAGAGACAGTACAAGAGTTGACACTGAAAACCTTCTCCCAAGGTCTCAAGATAAATTGCAGCACAGAAGGGTAAGTTGTTAATTGGCCTAAGTCCAGAAACCTCAGAGTTAGGCACCAATTCTCTCTTACAGCAAGACAGACCAAAAAAGAACTAAATGACCCTAGGTATCGAGGAGCAAGCCAGGCTGCCAGTGAGACTGGGATAGCACTAGGTCAGGACAAGTAATTCAATACTGCGAGACTGAAGATCATTTCGTTTCTGCAGCACTAACAATCCCTCGGTCTCTCTTGTTCCACGCTTGAAAGCAGCACCAAAAAAAAAGCCACTGAATCACATGCCCTCCCCAAGCCAAGTGGAGCATTTAAAAAAAAGTGACCTGCTTCAGTGACCTTGAAGCAAACTGTCAGCTCGTGTGGCCCACAGGACGCAACGACCGATCATGCCGCAGCTCCAGGGTGGCTACGAAGCTTCAGCTACCACAGAAAAGATGAGAGACTCTTCCTTTCACACCCTCAAACTTTTCCTCCACCCCCAGAGACCAAAGCAGAGCATGAGCAACTTATCTAACCCCAAAGGAGAAAATATCCCAGAACCACCTCAGTCTGGTCTTTGTATTGCAATCCTCAAAGTTAATCCTTGCATTCACATTGTAACCAAGAGCTGTTGCTGTTGCCCTATAAACAAAAGTACCGTTTTCCCACTTCAGGTACCTGTTTGGATGTGAGGGCACACATATGACACTACCAAGGGCTATGCTCCTAGCACAGTTTCTACATTCAGACACACTAACGAATACCCAGAAAATACTTCTTTCTCGAAACATGCATTTGCTCAAAACTTTGCTGCCCAGTGGTGGGTTGTCATCACGTGGAACTGGCAGCACCAGCTCTGCCTCACACACTGCAGCTTCCAGGGCACACACAGCTCCCGCTAGAATGGAATCTCTCCTCCATCTGTTTTCGACAGAGGCCCTTGCTACTCATCTGTTCCTCTCTTCTGTTTAAAAAATTGTATGGTTAGTATTAAAACTAATAAGCCAAGTGGCATGTAAGTATTCCTACCAAGAACTGACCGAGAAAACAAGGCTCATTTACCAAAAGGTGAATGATTAAAAAGGTGATTTGAGGGGAAGCCATTTCCTTAGTTTTTTGCTTGGCTTGTTTAACTATTTTTTGTGGTAGTTCTACCTACTAACTGTACAAGAAAAAGCTGCACAAAAACTAGGCGAGAGTATAGCCACAGATGACAAAAGAAGGCAAGATTTCAAGAAAAACAAACCAAAACAAAACATAGTTGACTATAAAAGGAAAACAAAGATGGATTACTAGCTCTGAAATTTGGGTAAGTTCCTATATTTCTGAAAGAGCAGGTTCCATTTAGTACCAGAGGCGTTCTCACTGGAATGTCTATGGGGAACTGAAAACCAAGTTTCTAAAGCATATAAACAGTTTATTCAAAAGGCTTTCAGAAGAAAATAGATGAAGAAGCGGCAGCTGCTGGACAAGGCAAAACCAAGCATAGTTGAACACATACTTTCTCAAGGCGTTTACAGCCCAAAATGTGCTGCTATTGCAAGAGGGAGAGGCAGGGGAATGAGATAAAGAAGAAGGTGAGGTACAAGATGATGTGAAATCTGAGGAAGATGTAGAGAAGGGCAGCAATCTGCATCTGTGGTAGGGGAAAAGGAGAAGGTATAAGGGAAGAGTCAAGATATCAGCTGTTTCTGAAAAGACAACAGAAAAAAATGCAATAGGAGAATGATTTGAGTGTTTTAACTTTGGCAGAGAAAGAGTTAGATTTTTTTAAGCAAAGAATTAAGTAAAAATAACAAAGTAGATCTGTTTAACGCAGAGGGAGACGACACTTCTTGTAGGAGAGAACGAGCCCGTCCTGAGGCAGCCACTCCTCTGAATATTGCCAGTCATGCTGCATAGTGTGAAAACAGGAGGAGGGGAAAGTGCACGCTAGGTCAGGCCAAGGCTGGGGGTTAGCGAAGGCAGCGCACGGCTCAGGGAGGAGGAGAGGAAAGCAAGGGAGGGAATTAGCTCTAGCAGTGGAAAAACAACAGCTGGGCACAGATAGAGCGAGAGAACTAACAGCAGACAGGAAAGCGCCAACAGCTACCAGGCAGAGAGCGGGGAAGGACCTAGGGAACAAGGCTGGGGACAAACTGATGGCAGCACCGAGCAGGACATGCTCCAAGGTGGAGAGAGGGTGGTCAGCAAGCAACAGAAAACATTGGTAGAGAGAAAATGAAGCAAATAGAAAAGACTAACTCGAACTTTACAATTAATCCTCAATTCTTTGCTTTTCCTCTTTGAGCAAAGGAAGAACAGTTGCTACTGCTTTCAAGTATCTCCTTAGACTAATAAGTCTTCTACATAAATTTATAACCTAGCAAAGATTAAAATAATAAGGGTTTTTTGGGAAAGGATAATTCGCTTGGAAAAGCATGAATTTTAATACTGCATGAATTTTTACTTCATGCATTGCAACATCAATAAAATGTCGATACAAAATGGTCTGATGACACACTGAGCTGCAGCTGTGGTATATGCCACTTACAGCACATAAAATAAAAATAGCTAAGCTGACTATTGGAAATTATTTTTGATAGGATAAGCAAGCAACACAGAAGAATGTAAGAGTTGTATCCACTATTTTGTGTGCCTCAGGTTCTGATTTGAAACACTAAAAAAAGGTTGAGAGACAGTGATAAAAGTTCAAGCAAAATGGCTCTGATACAAATTTAAAGTCTTTTTCAAGAGGAATACAACTTCTAATCCTATTTTCCTCATTTTCACTGCTCAGGTCCCTATGGAAATTCAGCTTTAAAAATGAGTCTCAATTTATATATTTAAATATATTTAGCTGGATTATAATAAAGTTAATGAGACATAACAAATGTTTAAGTCTCCATAACAGCAATTTGGAATTTTTTTTTTATTGGACAGACAGATAAAGCTAGGAGTACAGAATCCCAGAAAGATGGTGAAAGAGGCACATGAACCAGAAGATACATGTATATATTTAATATACATGAGGAGAGGGAAAGATAAGGCAATTCTCTTAACAGGATGTATAATGCATATGCATAAGAAGTGCATACAAAAGCATATTTCTTCTTTGTTGTGTCCAGTGTCCTATTTGTTAGAGGTTGGAAATAATATGTAGCTCAATCCTTGTTTCTGTAGATGGTTTATTACTGAATTCACATCTCACAGGAAAATACTTAGCAACCTTGAGAGCGAGACTGTGTATTTGCTTTGAAATGTAAACAATGAAAGATTAGGATAGATGAGTATATAGATCAATTAGGAGCAATTATTCATTGAAAAGCTGCTCTAATTCTTCATTATTCAGTGTCAGGTAAGTACTAGAAATAGTTTAACCTGCAATGCTGCAAACAATAGAACAGATATACACTCATGTAACCTAAGAATCAAATTTTCCCAGCACTTAACACAGTCTAATACTCGTTGGCTCTCCTCTAGCCATGTGAAATCCAAATCAGGATACACTTATAAAAACAAATCTGAAAACTTGTACAGCATCAGCATGATAAAGGGTTTGTTTTACAACTCCATAAATTAGCCGACCATCTAAAATCAGAAGTAATGTTAATTTTAAACAAGATGTTGAACAGAACTACTGGACTGCAGTTTCATGACTGCAGTAGGAGACTCAACTGAGCAATTTGCTTACACACAAAATAAGTTTCAGAAATGCCAATTATTAGATAATATTATGATTATGCACTTATAATAAATGTATAGACATTTTACCTGACTCTCCTAGAAAACATTATCTTAAAATGGGAAAAGTTTTATATAACTGACAACTCATTCATTAGCAAAAAAAGTTATAGCAATACTGAAAAGCTGATTTTTGTTTAAACACCAAGCAAGCATGGACATATGAATATTCCTAACCTGTAAAATGATTCCTCCACATTATATCAGCGAAACTCATTGGTGGGCCACTGGGAGGGTAGTGTTTACCTTTCAGAGGCTCATGATCAGTCCTTATCATATCCATTAAGGAATTTTCCAAAGAGTGCAAGTTAAAAGTGTCATAGGGCCTATTCCGGTCCTAAAAGAAAAAACAAGAGGAAGGAAAAATAAGACTGTTATAGAGTAATCATTTTCTAACATAGGCTAATTTCTTATTTTGTAAAACTCCAGCATGGAGTCCAACATGAGAAATATAAAAAGTGCTATCAGGAAAGAAACCAGCAAATACACATCTACAATAGCTAAAATGATAGTCTGTATTGCAGCCACTGCTTTCACCAATAATGCTAAGGCAGAGGGGCTTTCAGTATTTCTAAAATTATCTACAATCAAAACTTCATTCCAATCATTTCAGTAACAATTTAGAAATAGAACAGTATTAAAAGTTTGTGTTGGAGAAGTGAAGTTTTTCAGTATTTCAAAGATTTTGTTTCATGTTTCACTGGACAAGCTGAAACATTTAATGTCACATCTATACCCAGAAAATTCCTGGGAATTCTTTCCGGGAAGAATCTTTTCCACACACCGGTTACTTCAAGATAATCTCCTGGCTTGCAAAAATAAAATTTTAAACGCTTGGACAGTAATACACCTAAGTAACAGTACCAGTAGAAAATGTAACTCCAATTTTGTCTCAGTATATTCAAATTATAGAAAATATAAAATAGAGGGCGGGTACGAATTCACTGGCATAGTTAAGATTTCTTTCAATAGTGCTATTCAGAAAAATATTCAAAGTTTACAGCTGTAGATGTTTCTTTGAAACACAGATCCTCTTACTCCCAAAGATCACATGTTCCTACAGTATACTCTAGCATATTGTTGAAAGAAAGTTGAATTTTCAGTTTGATTTTATATTTTCCAAAAGTGGAGTAGCACTATTTATTTAATCTACTAAGCATTTTGTGATAGTCAAACATTACATACAAAGAATAATGCTTTTTTTCCTCGTAGAAACTGTAGGAATCAATAAAAGTGAGCTCGGATTTTTATCACTTAATTCAGATGCTACTGTTTCTGATTGTTATGTTTTCTGCAGTTGATAAAAATCCTAACATCTGTATATGATCTGTGCATATTGATCAAGGCTAATTTGAAAAGAAAAAAAAGAAAAATTAGATGCAAAGATTTCTATTTTTGTGATATATCAGTAACTCGAACAGCGTCCATACTATTGCCCCAAAGAGTATTTCTTCCTTTTAAAATATTTATCTACAAATTTGTGGTGTAAGTATCCCAAGTGTTACAGCACTAGACTACAACACGTTTTAGAAGAGAAAGCATGGAAAGTAGCATGCAGCTTTTATCCCAAAATAGGGAGTTAGCGGTAAAGAAGTATTTTTCAGTCGGGTCAGTCCCCTGGTCTGATTTACTATCCAGCTGCAGCAGAGAGCTGAGCTGGCAGAGCTAACCCTGGCAGGACAGCAAAAGGGCAGGATTGTTTCTTTTGCCACAATGATAGTTTATTCCAGTTTCAAACATTCCTGAGATTACCATTTTGGAGGCTGGGAAAAGTGAGTTCAGAAGAATACACAGCCTATACATTTGATTTCATTTTATTAACATATACATGTTAGTTCTCAAGGCAAAAAAAAATGCATACACAACAACAGTATTTGAAGATTGTTGCCTAAATGTAGTCATTTCTTCTGAGAAGCCCGGTGCTCCTGTGTACATACAAGATGAAGTTTCGGAGTTCTCAGCATCAACAAGCTGGGTTTGGTAACTGATCCTGTTCTGTCTCCTGGTTTGCCCTTTGTATCCCCTCCACAGACTACCAGATCTGCTGCCAAATAACCAGAACAGACACAATTCATAGAGGTCCTCAGTAGCACATGAGAACTTGGCTAAGAAGTCCTTGAACCAGAAATCAAAAGATAAGTGACAGAATGGCAAAGCAGACTAAAGGACTTGGGAAAGCAATCTGAAAACCCAGCAAGTCTGGAAATTCAGCTCAGGGTCCAGAGGGGACAAACACCCTTACAGCTACTTAGGCATACTAAATTATGGACAAAAGAGACCTCTCTGGCCATGAGGCCTTAGGCTACACAGCAGCCATCGAGCCAGTGGAACAGGCAGCCCAGGCAGCCAGTGCTGGATCACACTTCTGCACTGCACAGACTGCGGCTACTTTCTTGTTAGGCATGAGCGTGCAGGACAGCAGATTTCAGGTCTTGCAATACTCGTGTCTAGATCTAAAGAAAAACAGCTAAGAAGATCAGAGAAGGTAGGGGGGTCCCAGGACTCCTAACCCCAGCCCTGATCTGGGATTCATATCCCAGGCTGAAGTACAACTGTTACGTTTGCAGTCATGCTTGGCACAGTCTTCTTCAAAGATGTATAATTAAGCATAAGGAAGAATTACAAATGCACATGCAGCATCAGATTTTTGAAGTAACATAAAATAAGACTGGAGCTCCAGATTAAGTTAGGTATGACATTTCTACCTTTAAGCACCTTACCTCTAAGACTGATCTAAAATGCGACAAGATATATGGTATCTATAATCTGTCTCTCCATTAAATACAAAAGAAAAAAACATAACTGCCAAATGATAACTGCAGAGTCAAGACATTTAAAGAAAATGAGAAAATATAATAGCTTGCATTTTGCCTAAATTTTAGACTTTCATGCCTATGCATTATGCTAGTCTTTAATCACATAAACATCATAATTTTTCAAAAGTCTCCAGTCTCCATCCAATGGGTATAAGGTCCCTGCCCCACTAATGAATGTAAATTGCTCTGTGAAGGAGCCTGTTTATGCCTGGGACAGACGTCCGTGTTGCTTCTCCCAGGAGCTGGCCGAGGTGTAAGCAATCTGTCAGCAAATTCCAGGAAGGGAAAAAATGTTCATAAAGTTAGGCTACCATAGGCTTAATGACAAAACAGAGATTACTTAGCTGTAAGTGGAGTTCTCTGAAACATGTAATTGCCACGTATGTGCACCCCATAATTTGGGATCAAAAGATTTGAGTGCCGAGGAGGAGAAAAGACTACATGGACCATAAGTGCCTGCATGACAGCTACTCATAATATTTTTTTAAATGACAGCCCATATGCACGTACTTACACTCTAGATGTTTCCAATATATTTTGTCCTGTCCTATTTTATGCGGAGGACAGGTTTGAAATTCTTCATGCAAACAGCAACAGCAGTCTGACCTGGTGGCCTTCAGGGACAGAGATGCTGCAGTGGTGAGCAGAAGGATGGGGCTCCCCAGAGCTGGAAACTAGAAGCTGAGACAAACATTTCTCACAACGCTACTGGAGTTTGCTCAGCCTCTTATAAACTGCATTGTGACTGCAGAAATAGGTTCCACCCTTCAAGTCTCAAAAACAAACAAAAAAACACATCACCGCATCAAGGCAGTGTTCTCTAAAAAGGGCCAGGTCCTTTCTTCATTCAGAAATGGACATGAACTGCCTAGATTTCCAAAACATTGTGTAACAGTAATCTAAAGATAAAAGCCTTGAGAGAATGCAGAATAACAGAATCCATCTTGGAAGGGTGAGCTAAAATATCAAACTTGAATAAAGTAAACCCCAGGCATCAGTTTAAGCAGAAGCGCTGCACATGTTTTCAAAGACACTATCTTTGAAAAAGATACACCTACGTGGAAGGGCAAAGAACCTGGTGGGTTCAAAGAAGGAAGCCCATGAGAACATGTAAATGTAGGTTAAAGTCTGCACCGCATGCTGGATCCCTAATGCAGAGGCATTTTAACTATCCCTTTGAGAACTGAAAATTACAGTGACAGAAAACAAGACCAGATCTACAGCTAGGGCCATAACAGATGTTAAATGAACTTTAATGCAGCCTGGCTTCTTCTCTAGCTCTTTCTCCTTGAACAGGTTGCTCTTGCTCGCAATTGGAACAGATGATTCAGAAAAGCAAATGACCAACACATCCCATGGCAGAGATAAGGAGAACAAGCACTTTGATCTAAGAGCTGAAACTACTTCTTCTTCCAATGCTTCTGCAGTGGGTCGTGGCAGTGAAACCACCTCAAAACTACAGCCACAAAGGAAAAAAATGATCCTGAGAAGGCAGGGTAGGAATCTAATAATCCATAGGATAAAGAAGAAAATGGCTGTCACATCAGCAATATTTTCCTAGTATCAGCAGCAGTTCTCACCAGGACTGCTGACCTCAGTCCAGTGGTACCTCTTGGCAGTCACAGGCTCTAGAGCTAGATACGGTTTTAATGGTCCTCTCAAACAGAAAATACTGCTGCTCAAACATTCCCGACTTTAATGGGGGAATCCTTTTCACTTTAAAAAGAACAGCAGACTGATAACTCCCTAGGAATTTTTTCTTTATCTAAAGCAGATGGATACAAAGATATTTTGTATGTGTGATGAAAAACAGAATTAAACCCTCCCATTTGTCCTAAGATGAAAGAAAGGGCTTTAGGAAGAGCCAGAGAGAAGAAAAGAGAGGGGAAAAAAAAAAAAAAATAGTTGGCTACAGAGAACAAAATATTCCTTAACAGATTTTTTAAGAACTGAAATGACATCCAATATCCCACCCTATTTTCTCTGTGAATTCAGCAAAAGAGAGGGCAGAAAATCATCTTCCTCTTAAAGATACTGCAAAGAGATTGTTAAGACTACAGTCTTGAAAGAAGGGATGGTAGAGACCTTAGCACAGGAGGGTTATCAACTGAAGAAAACTTAGCTTCATTCAGTTCTTGGATCTGTAATGCTGGACATGCTGTCCAAGTGAAGCTACTATCCATACTCAAAATCCTTAAATATGTATTTATGCACGTGCTGAACCCACACTGCCACAGCCATCTGCTTATTGAACACAGAATACATGCTGAGTTTAGAGATACACCCAGTCTGCCCATTTTGTACTATGCAAGCAGCACAAATGTGGGTACCTAGACTATTCCAATGACAGACCAAAAACTCCTTGTGCCTATATATTTCAGTCCATATACTGACTTCCTACTAAGTTTCCTATATTCTGAACATTTTCTGTCCACCAGGGCACAGACACCACACCTACTGCTTAGATCAGAGCAATGAGATTAAGCAACTTTCCTACCAACACAAGCTCTTCACCATGGTCACTGCACTTGATT